ATGTGCTGGATACTAAGATTCAGATAGCCCGCTGCTTTCTTGGAGCATGAAGGTCCTGCACTTTTTAGTTTGCTTATGAATAAAATCTTTCCCTATTCTGCCTTTTTGTATGTACTCCTTAAATTCTCTGAACAAGACACCAGGACCCCCTAAACACCCATTCAAACTGCAACTACTGGTAAGAAATATACTAAAATACTTTTCAACTCCATGAGGGGAGGTATCTAACATCCTGAAATACTGATAAACTGGCCTGTAATCCTGGTATTTGTGGGTAGAGGCAAGATGATCAGAAGTCCAAGGTCATCTTTGGCTACATAGCAGTTTCAGACCAAACTGGGCCACACAGAGAGGGTGTGGAGAAGAAGGGAGGAGAAAAGAAGAGAAAAGAAAACAAGAACAAGGGAAAAATATTTTTGCTAATGAAATGTTTCCCATCATTCTTGAGCAATTTCTCCACACCTGAAGTGTGATAGCATTTGGCATGGATAGTATACAGGTAGGTATCTTCAAAAATACCGGATAGGCTTCACTTGTGCTGAGAAGCGCCAGCAGCTGCACTGTGGAAACAGTCTGCTGTGAAGTCCTGAGCAAACTCTTGTGCCAGACCCAGGAAGTGAAGTATGACAAACGGAAGTTGTCCTGCTTTGCTTTTTATTGCTGTGGTCAACACCATGACCAGAAGCAACTCAGGGAGGAAAAGGTTTAATAAGTCCACCATGAAGGGAAGTCAGGGCAGGAGTTCAAGCAGGAGCAGAGGCGGGAACCATGGCAACGGCAATGAAGGAGTGCTGCTTACTGACTTGTTGACTTGTTCAGCCTTCTTATACTACCCTGGACTTTCTGCCCAGGGGTAGCTCTGCCCACAGTGGGCTGGGCCCTGGAAATCAACCATTAATCAAGACAGTTCCACCCACAGACTTGCCTGCTGGAGAATATGATGGAGGCATTTTCTTTTCTTTTTTTCTTTTGGTGTTTGCAGACAGGGTTTCTCTGTGTAGCCTTGGCTGTTCTGGAACTCACTCTGTAGACCAGGTTGGCCTCGAACCCACAGAGAGCCTTCATGCCTCTGCCTTCTGAGTGCTGGGATTAAAAGCATGTGCTACCATTGCTGAGCTGGCATTTTCTTAGTGAGATCCCCTCTTCTCAGAAGACTCTAGCTTGTATCAACTAACCAGCACAGAAGGACTTTTTAACATTTTTGAGACATGGTCTCATGTAGCCCAGGCTGGCCTCTCAGACTTGCTAATGTAGCTCAGAGTGTTCTTAAAGTTCTTGTCCTTCTGCCTCAGTTTTCCAAGTGCTTGGATGTGCTGCCTGCCCAGTTGATGAGGTGCTGGACATCCAACCCAGGGCTTCTGTGCATCCAAGCAAGCAGTCTAACAACTAACCCATATACCCCAAACCTAGGGAACTTGTTTGCTTGCTTGTGAGATAGACTGCCTTATACCCCAGGTTGGGCTTGAACTCATTATGTATCTAAGAATGGCTGAACTCTACTCCCCAGCCTCCAACACTCAAGTGGTGGGATTACAGGCAGGTACCACAACCCCTGACTTAAATTCACCTATGTAACCCAGGCTGGCCTTGAACCTCAATTTTCCTGACTTGACCTAATGAGTGATGGGGTTACAGGAATGCACCATCATGTCTGGCCATGTTGCATCATCTAAGATAATGCATGTAATCCTTCTAATGAGGATTCCTAAAAATAATCTTTCTTATAGAGGCATAATTTCCTCATCACAGAATGAGTTATAAAAAATGTATAGCTCAGGGCTGGAGAGATGACTCAGTGGTTAAGAGCACTGATAGCTCTTCCAGAGGACCATAGTTCAATTCCCAGCACCCACATGGCAACTCACAACTGTCTGTAACTCCTATTCCAGGGGATCCAACACCCTCACACACACATGTATGCAGTAAAGACACCAATGTACATAAAATAAAAATAAACAAAATTTTAAAATGTATAGTTCATTTAAGGTGATTAGCTTCCTCCTCAAAATCAGAACTATGAAGCCAACTCCATACTGACCTCCCAGTGCAGACTAAATTGCAAGCCATGCTGGGTAGTATGATAAAATGTTCCTTTATCCCTCTGGAACTGTAAGCCCAAATAAACACTTTCATAGATCACTTCTGGCCATGGTGTTTTATCACAGCCACACAAAAAAGTAATTAGTTCAGTGGCTGACCTTGGTTGTGAGCTTGGTTGTCAAACTTCATTGGAAGAACTGCCTCCATCAGTTTGGCCTGTGGACATATCTTCAGGGGAGTTTTCTTGGTTGTTAATTGATGTAGGAGGGCCCAGTCTACCCTGGGTGGTACCTTCCCTGGGCACATGGGCCTAATTTCTGTAAGAAGGGTAGCTGAATGTCAGCTTGGAAACAAAGCAGTGAGCACAGTTGCTCCATGGTTTATACATTAAGCTCCTGCCTTGAGTTCCTGCCTTCATGAGGAACTATGGAGAATAATATGTAACTCCACTTGCCTTATGGAGAATAATCTGTAAGAATTACGGAGAATAATCTGTGAAACAAACCCTTTTCTCCCCAAGATGCTTTTGGTCATGATATTTTAACATAGTAACAGAAAATTGAGCTAGTATATAACCTAAAGATAAATCACTGTGTACACGGGCACCGTGTGTGTGCACACACATGAATATACACACACAGACGGGGGGTCAGAGTAGAAGATATGCTAGAAGGTAATGGTGAGTGTGATCAAATTACATTATATAATGTATTAAAATGCCTATAAATAATTTATTCTTATAAATAAAAACCTTTTAAAAAATATAGAGGAGAACTCTCTGTAGAGGATTGTAGAATGGCAGAGAAACACTTAAAGATATGCTCAACATCCTTAGCCATCAGGGAGATGCAAATCAAAACGACCCTGAGATTTCATCTTACCCCCATCAGAATGGCTAAGATCAAAAACTCAAGTGACAACACATGCTGGAGAGGTTGTGGAGAAAGGGGAACTCTCCTACACTGCTGGTGGGAATGCAAACTCGTACAACCACTTTGGAAATCAATCTGGTGCTTTCTCAGACAAATAGGAATAGTGATTCATCAAGATACAGCTATACCACTCCTAGGCATATATCCAAAAGATGCTCAAGTACACAACATGCTCAACCATGTTTATAGTAGCTTTATTCGTAATAGCCAGAACCTGGAAACAACCCAGATGTCCCTCAGTTGAGGAATGGATACAGAAATTGTACTTTTACATAATGGAATACTACTCAGCAATTAAAAATGAGGAAATCATGAAATTTGCAGGCAAATGGTGGGACCTAGAATTAATCATCCTGAGTGAGGTATCCCAAAAGCAGAAAGAAACACATGGTATATACTCACTTATATAGACCTACAAGATAGGATAAATATACTGAAATCTATACACCTAAAGAAGATAAACAAGAAAGAGGACCCAGGGTAAGATGACCAATCCTCACTTAGAAAGACAAATGGGATGGACATTGGATGTAGGAGAAAACAAGTAACAGGACAGGAGCCTACAGCAGAGGGCCTCTAAAAGACTCTACCTAGCAGTGTATCAAAGCAGATATTAAGACTTATAACCAAACCTTCGACAGAGTTCAGGGAATCATATGAAAGAAGGGGGAGTTAGTAAGACCTGGAGAGGACAGGAGCTCCACAAGGACCAAATATATCAGGGCACAGGGGTCTTTCATGAGACTGTTTCTCCAACCAAGGACCATGTATGAAAATAACCTAGAACCCCTGCTTGGATATAGCCTATGGTAGCTCAGTGTCCAAATGGTTTCTCTAATTAGGGGAACAGGGACTATTTCTGACATGAACTCAAAGGCGAGCTCTTCAACCCACACCCACCCCCAAGGGAGGAGCAGCCTTGCTAGGCCACGGAAGAGGTCATTGCAGCCAGTCCTGAAGAGAACTGATAAGCTAGGGTCAGATGGAAGGGGAGGAGGTCTTCCCCTATTAGTGGACTTGGAAAGGGGCAGGGAGAAGATGAGGGAGAAAGGGTGAGATTGGGAGGGAAGGAGAGTGGGGGCTACCGCTGGGATACAAAGTAAATAACCTGTGATTAATATAAAAAAATAAATTAAAAAAATAAAATAAAATAAATAAATAAAATATATAGAGACCAATAAACCGCACCTTTGTCTCAAGAGGGAAAACTCTGTACTAACATGCTCACTCCAACCTCCCATAGGATCTGAGGTCTCTTCCCAGCTGAGGTCACACCTGCCCTCCTCTCCTCCCAGCTGAGGTCATACCTCCCCTCTCTTCCTAGCTGAGATCACACCTGCTCTGTCTTCCCAGCTGAGCTCACACCTCCTGTCTTCCTAGCTGAGCTCATGCCTGCGCTCTCTTCCCAGCTGAGGTCACACCTGCTCTCCCTTTCCAACTGAGTTCATACCTGTCCTCTTCCCAAGACTGAGGTCACAACTACCCTCTTTCCAGCTTAGGCCACACCTCCTCTCTCTTCCCAGCTGGGGTCGCATCTCCCCTCTTTCAAGCTGAGCTCACACCTCCCCTCTCGTCCAAGCGTACACTGAGGTGTCCTTTCCTACTTCTTTTCCCTCCTTGGTTCTGTCATTGTCTCACTTCCCAATGTGTCCATTTTGAAATCACAAACTCAGGAGATTACATGCTGAAGATTCTCCATCCTGGGCTCTGCTAACAGGGAACATAACCCAAAAACAGACCCAAGTAACAGGAAAAATAAATTGTTTCTTTCTGTCTGACCACATTACTGTGGCACAATAATCTGGTAATTAGATGATGCTTAGTGTTTGCAGTAGAGTATATTATATTAGAGAAGTTCATCACGCTTCTCTAATATACATTATTCATTTCTCCATTGAGTGAACTTGGCATAAGAATTAGTTTGGCAATGAACATTAGTGGGTATGTTGTAAGAAGAGGGCTGATTTGTGTGTGTGTGTAAATTAACCCATTTATTGCAGACGAGGCACATCTCAAACGGTAGTGCTTCTACTGGTCTTTCAGTTTCTCGAGACTTCTGATGGCAGACTTCACTGTGATGGCAGAAGTGGTGTCGTAGGTCCAAGCCCCACCAGCTACTGTTTTCATGCAGGATCCATAGTGCCAGATGCCAACGGCATCTCCTCATCTTGGTCTTGCCACAGAAGGGCAAGTGTACTTGGCATGCTGGCTAATTTCAATCTTCTTCACCATCTTCTGGAGGGAGGCACCGTAGCGGGTCCCATATTTCCTGATAATCCCGACCTTCTTGGTGCGTTTAGCCATGTTGCCGGAACCAAAAGCCCAAGCCTGAAAAGAAGAGGTTTTAAAAGTGTGTGTGTGTGTGAGGCCAGTGAAATAACTCAGTGGCTAAAAACACTTGTAGAACTAGCCTGACAACCCAAGTTTGATCCCCAGAACCCACATAAAGGTGAAGGAGAGAACGAGCTCGTGTAAGCTGTTTGACCTCCACATGCACACCACAGCACATGTGCCCCCTCACACACACCACATGCACACACACAATAATAATAACAGAATATTAAAATTAAGGTTAAGAACAAAAAAGAAGCGTGTGGCTTGCCCTGGTTCTCACTGTTCTCTGTCACAATAGGCGCACATCCCAGGAGCTGCTGGTTCCAGAATGAAGGGACTTGTGTGATGGAGTTGAATACCACTGGTGGCCTGGAATTAAGCTCAGCAGTTTCCAGCTAAAACCAGAAGAATTACAAACCTAAGAATTAGGGCAGATGTGGTGGCACACACCATTAATTCTGAATACAGAAGGCAGAGGCAGGGGGATCCCTGTGAGCTGAGGCCAGCCTGGTCTACATAGTGAAACCATATTGTGTCCCTTCCCAATACAAACAAACAAACAAAAGTAAGAATTCAAAGCTCTGGGTTAAAATGTGAAGATTGTGATAGAATTTCGAGATGTCCTAAACTAAGTTATAGGTCAGAGAATAAAGAGAGGAAAAAGATGAGAAGATCATTTTAACTCACAGCTCAAGTTAAATCAGCAGAGAAAAAGACAGGTGGGAAGAAAGGAAATTGTTTCACATCCCCTTCCACTAAAGATCACCCTCAGACTTGATGCCTCTGCTTCTCAGGATTGCAGGCTATGTGCATCACGTCCAAATGACATATTGTCCTTTCCTGGTACAGGTGTGTGGTAGAATTTAGGTATTCTGGCAACAGGTGGATTAATCCACTGACGGACACACAGCATAATAACTACTGGGAAGTGGAGGAAACAGGCTTAACTGCAGAAAGTAGGTCTGGGGACATGCCTTTGAAAGAATCAGACTAACTTTGTAACCTATGTTTCTTTTAATTGCCTTATATTTGCAAGTTTTAGGCCCATGTTAATTAAAGCCTCTTAGTGCTTCTCCAGAGAACCGAGGAATGTAAAAGTTCCTGACATTAGCCATCTGTGAGGGCAGAGATAAGGAAGAGAACAAGCAGAGATCTCTACTAAATGGAGAAAAAAATCACGGGCTGGCGCCGGTGAGATGGGCTTTGTTTGGAAACTGGGCCAAATGGCCCCAATCCTTCTCCTGACCTTTGATCCAAAGCCTGTAACCCCCACTCCTCAGAACAGACATGGGATGAGTTAATCACCCTCCCACATTTAACTGTGGATGGCAGGAAATTCCAAACTGACTTGACGATCAGATATTTACGACAGGGCTGACTGGACCTAAGGGTGACCAGAACTGACCAATTATTTTAAAAGTTAAACATTTCATCCAATCCTAAATTGCCAAGAAGGCAATGCCAGGAGATTCCCGCCTTGTGTCTTTTAAAAACCCAAGGTCTTTGTCTCCCGGGGGCCACTCCTAGCTGACCAGCAGGGGTGACCCCATTGTACAATGGTCAAGAAGAGTCTCTTGCGTTTTTGCATCGATGGATGATTAGTTTCCTGAGTTCTCGTCATACCTTCTCATATTTAGGCTCTTGCTGGGCCTAACACCTTTTAATGTAATATTTTGCTGTGGCCTCTTCTCTCCCACTCTTTCTGCTTCTCTGCCACCTTGAGAAGAGCAGCTTTGCTCCATTGCGTGCTCCCCATGATGATGCTCTGCCTCACCAGAGACCCACAAGTAATGGAGCCAAGTGAACTTTTTTTTTTCTTTTACTTTATCTCCTCAGGTATTTTGTCATAGGGCTGGAATATTGACATGGAGAACACATGCCACACGCCTTTAGAATCAACTAAAAAGGCAGCAAAAGCTATTTTTTTTTAAATGTGTGTGTATGGTGTGTATGTGTGTACATATGTGCAATCTGAGTGCAGGTGCCTGTGAGGTCATAAGGAAGAGCTTGGATCTTCTGGATCTGGAGTTTATAGACAGTTGTGAACCACCTGATGTAGTAGGTCTTGGCAACCAAATTCTGGTCCTCTGCAACAACAGCAAGAAGCCCTTTATTTTAGGAGACTAATTGGACTCAAAAGTTTGGTTTAGGGGCATTGAGATGGCACAGTGGGTTAAGGTGCTTGCTACCAAGCCTAACAAAGTTTTTGCTTTTCTTTTTTCAAGACAGGGCTTCTCCATAAAAGCTCTGGCTATCCTGTGTAGGACACTGCTGTTAAAAGGTCGAAGTCTGGCATTTCTGGATAGTCAACTGAGCTCAGTCTATTAAGACACAGACTCCCTGCCCTCTCTGAGCCCCAAAAACCTCTTAGGAGCATCACATAGCCCTCAGGGAAGATTACAGGCTGAACCTTTTCCTGATAAGAAAACTTGATTAACAAGCACCTGGGGGTTCCTGGAAATACCCCACCCTATGCTAAGGAGATTTTAGCTTTAGGCAAATGACCTTCAATTGCACTTGTGATTTTCCCCCACCTTTAAGATAATTAAGGACTGTGATAGGACTGTGCTACTGCATGTAAATGAGGTATTGTAGCACTACATGTAAGTCAAGTATCCCTAGCGCCTCTAGCCCTATTGAATCAAACACATTCACCTTTGAAACCCTTCCCACTGTCCAAGGTTGATTTGACACAAAAGAAGTGCTGGGTGCTTCATGGTGTCATCAGCTTTACATCAAAACCACCCAAGATTCATCATTTATTCTAGGGGAAGGAGGGCTCCCCACCTCCCTGGAGAATCACCAAAGGAGGACAGAACTTGGCTGCCAATCAAGCAGCTACCTGCTTCTGGACTACCTGGGGTTTGGCTGCTTCAAGATTGGTGCTGACCTCTGGCAAAGCACTGCCAGGACTGCTTTAGGCCTGCCTGCTTTCCAGACACTGACTGGTTTTGGTTTCGGGCATCTACCTGCATCCTCTACACAGCTTGGCAAAGGGATAACACTTTAGATATCATCACTGGCTTTTGGAGCTCCCAGGCCTCCATTGCTGTCTAATACCAGCAATCTCATTCTAAGAGAACTAACTGTAACACAAGCTGGAAAACTCATTTTCACCCCACCCCCATGGAGCCTTGCCTAGTACATGGGCCTTGCCCTGACTGCTCTGGTCATTCCTGACAGAAATGGAACCTTGGATCTCAAGGTTGTCTGTTTTTCATCCAGAAGCTGACACTGGCATCCCACACTACCACTGGACAGAGAATTACAGTCCTGGAACTCATGCCAGTCCTGGAACTGTAGACCAGGCTGGTCTTGAATTCACAAGATCTGCCTGCCTCTGCCTCCCAAGTGCTGGGATTAAAGGCTTGTGCTATCATGCCAGGCTAGCTTGCTTTCTTTTCTTTTCTTTCTTTCTTTCTTTCTTTCTTTCTTTCTTTCTTTCTTTCTTTCTTTCTTTCTTTCTTT